AAAATTTCAAGTCTAGCTTTTATAGGTTCTGAGATCCTTGCGTTCATACATACGGACGGACGGACGGACGGACGGACGGACAGACAGACGGACATGGCTAGATCGACTCGGCTTGTGATGCTGATCAAGAATATATATACTTTATGGGGTCGGAGATGCTTCCTTCTGCCTGTTACATACATTTGGCTTTCGCACAAATACAATATACCCTTATACCATTTCTAATGGGTTCAGGGTATAAAAAGAGAAATAAAGAAATGTCTTTCTAGGATTGGCAATCTTTAATAGACTGGATCTTTAGATTTTACCATAAATTCAGCTAAAATACCAGGTGAATAAAAGTGCACAGTGATAATGTAAAGCTGCTGTTAAATTAGATGCCTGCTACATCCACTGTTAAGTCGGCTGTTTAGAAGCAAATGTAAGATTTAGCTAAAATACCAAGCAAACATAAATGCACAGAAGGACACCGGCAATTTTTCGAATGAACTTTTTCTATTTTTTGCACTTAAGACATATACATATATGAGTATAACTTATATTGTTGCTTATTTTATTTTATTGCCTACTTTACTAAAGCATTAAAGCACTATAAGGCAAATTAAGACTGATCTTAGGAAGCTATGCGTTTTAGGATTAGTAGAAGAAGATATAGTCGATTGGATTTTGAAGATTTTGAACTTCCTGAACCTGAAAAGACAAAAAATACATATATAAAGTAAAATGTAAATGTAAAATGTTGAACAACATTATATCCAAGGGCCATAACTTGAGCCAACGATGGGCGATCGATTAAAATGATTTGGCATTTCCAGGATCAAGCTCATTTTTGTCAATTTGGTCTACCTTTCAAAATGAAACAAGTAAGAAGTTCTAGTCGGGAGCGACTAGGGGATACCCTGAACCCTCTTATTCCAACACCAAATAAATTAATAAAAAAAAGTTCTCTTAGCAGGGCTCGAATTTGCAACTGACCGCATTACTTACTGTCGACTCTACTCAACAGCCACACCAGCAAAAAAAATAAAATAATAATAATAATAAAAAAGGAACTAAAATAACATTACGAAAAACAGATGCAATTATCATGTTATTAGAATGCGAAGCAGACGCGCATGAACGTGAGTGTGTACATGTATACAGAAATTCTTAAAGCTGATGCCCCATTCAATTGCGCAGTTGCATATAACTTTGGTTTTTCCTCAACGATCTTTATGAAATTTTCTACAGTGTATCTTATTGTACCATAGAATATTTGTGTATTGTGAAAAATTCAATTGCATTTAAATTGTGGTTTAAATTGGTTGGCAATAAAAGTTTGGTTATTAACTTGATTTATAGCTCTGGGGTGGTAGCGGGGAGGTGGCGATAGGTATGAAATGAAAGATACTTGAAATATCTATAATATTCTAGAAGCAACATATGTTTGGTGGCTCTAGCTCTTATTATTTACCCAATTTGCTAAAAAAAACAGGATGTCTATATCGATTTTAATCGATTGCTTGGAAACGGAGTAAGTTATCAATTATCGGAAACAAACTCGATCTGCGCGGGAACTAGGAGCATCTACATCTAAAATTTCTCTCTAGCTCTTATAGGTTCTGAGATCCTTTGGCTCATACATACGGACGGACGGACAGACAGACGGACATGGCTAGATCGACTCGGCTATTGATGCTGATCAAGAATATATATACTTTATGGGGTCGGAGATGCTTCCTTCTGCCTGTTACATACATTTGGATTTTGCACAAATACAATATACGCTAATACCCATTTTTAATGGGTTCAGGGTATAAATATTTGAACGCCAAACGAAAGTTCCCGCCCGTGCGATTCACTGAAGGTATATTTTGAAAATCAAGTATCTGAAACACTCTAAAGTAGACGAGTTATTTGATATTACAAATATTTTGAAAACTTAAAATGAGCCTTCATTGAACGGTGTCCGGTCGTATCCTGGTGAATGGGACATTATGAAAGGAAACACAAGACGGGATCGACAGCAAAAATGAGTTTATTTCGGTTACAGCAGAGTCAATATTAATTTATTTACTTACTACATTTATTTGGACTGATGGCAAGTTATTTGCTTTGTTGTGTTTAGTTTTGTTATTCAATTACCAAAAGTTTTATTTTGGGTTTGGAGAATTTAAGCCAGCATTAGGCATTCGGCATCCAGCATTCAACAGCGTTGGCCAAAAGAGGAAAGGCCGGTTATTTATTTACTTTGGACGTTTAGGACTTTTTGCTTTTACACGCTTATTTACTGTTTGCCGAAATGAGAAACCGCAAACACAACTAAGCCCCGCAGTCGACACAAAACTCCGCACCCACTGGAAGCCAACAAAGCAAGCGCAACTTGAGAATGGGAAGCTGCTTGCATGCGGAAAAGTTAAACCAGAAATACTTTACCCAACTTAAATGCCTTTCAGTTAAACTGCCCCAGGACCAAGAGCGAGCGGGTGTGGGCGTGGAACGTCACAGGACGTCAAAGTGCGGAAGGCGTAAAGCAGAGAAAAGGCCAGCTACCATACTCGGAGGCAGAAATTATGTAAAAAGGCGCTCGATCGGAGCAAAAAGCCAAACTGAGTGCATGATAACCAACGGTAGGCGGCTAAGGGAACGGGGGCATTTGGTCTGATGTACCCACAAACGGCAGGCATTCAAAAAACACGCATACAGAGCAACGGGCAGCTGCCCGGCTGGGCAATGCCCGAGTTAGCCTCGATGTTAACACAATTAAATGGGCGGCAGCCTTTAGGGGTGGCAGGAGGCCATGGCGACTGAATGGCAACACGAAATGGTGCACGATGACCGGGCAAGTCAGTGCAGGATGTCATTTTGTGCACTTGCCTTCACTTCCTATGTATTTTTAAGTCATTATTTTTCATTTTCTTCAGCGTTTTTTTTTTTTCGTTTTTCATTCAGTTTTTTTTCGCTTGCTGCCCAGCAACGTTGTAAGCTGCAAGTCACGCGGGGCGTGTGCCCAGCTATTTTTTGTTGCTTATCCAAGTATTAAAAAATTGTTTCTCAAGATGAACAACAACAGCGCAACCGAGCAACATAGAGTGCGAAGAACAAAAAAAGCTTACAAAACAAAACAAACAACAGCACACCAGAAAAAAATGTGTATCATATTTTATGAGATTTCTTGGCAGTCAGTTAAAGTGTCCCTGCAAAGTATCTGGTGTTGTGCTCTGTTAAATTTATTCGTGTAATTTGCTTTAGAAGCAAAAGGCAGCAATTGCATATACAAATACAATACAGAAATAATTGTAATTAAAATAACTGAGATATTCGCTTACTTCCTACAAGCAACTGCTCTACTTAACATGCACTTCAACATGTACTTTGCCCTGTGTCTACTTCAAGTTGTAACGCATTTAACTGTTTCATCTTGCTTGGCTTTTAAGGGCTTAATGGTTTCTTTGCCCGTACACTACTCTTTACTCTACTTACCCGCTGGCTCTCTTTTCTGGCTGCCTGCTGTCAGCCACTCAGTCATCAGCTTTGGGTGTAACGTGAAAAATATATACTGCCTTCTAGTTTGTCTTCATTTTTTCTGTTTGTTCTCTACTGCTCTGGATATTATCCAAGTTGTGCCCAACTCTCAGCTCGACAAATTTTAGGTGCTGTTTCGCATTTTCATTCCCCCTCCCGTCTTGTGGCTAACTGGGATGTGATTTCCGCTGCAATAAAATGGAGTGTCTACCTTAAAGGCTTTATGGCTTCGTTTTGTCGCGGACTGAAATTCGTCATTTTATGGTTATGGGTTCCTTTTCTCTGTCTTTCTTTATTTTTATGAGCTCTTCACACTTTTGGCCATTTGGTTTGTGCTACAGCTGCTGACCCATTTTTTGTTGGTTAGTTTTCAGAGCTGGTTTTGAGTTTCTGAGACCCAAAAATATTACCATAAAATATTAAATTATTTATGCGCATCCTTTGAGAAAGGGATACCTTGCCTTTATGCCTGCGCTGACTGTAGCCAATTTCTGGCCTCCATTGTCGTTAGTATCCATTTATCATAATCATTTTCAATGGATTGGATTATAGAGAAAATATCAATACGGAAATGGAAAGCTCTAAGCATAAATTGCTGTACAGCCGAACTTCAAGAGAAGAGATTTACAATGCTTTTTAGGCTAGCCTAAAAAACTCTTGAAATATAAGCTATTCTTAGTGCGGGTGCATAAATATACTCGTGACCATTTAAGCCTGGTAGATAATAAAAATAAAAAAAATATATACAGCATAAAAAATGAGCGCTCTCGTCGGAAGTATCGGACTTGGGGGTACCATTGGAATATGAGTTTTTCCTATTTTAAGAAAAATTGTTTATACTAGAACAAGCCTATTCACCACGTTTATTGTATCGTTACGCTTTAAAGACCGATCGAAATGTATCGATATCATGAAAATGGGAAGAGATCAATCATGTCTTTAGTTTTTATAGTTTTCGCTATCGACAGATCGTCATATCGGCTATGCTCATAGCTCTAATCAGGTATATACGGACATTATATAATCGGAAATACTTTATGCTTCCTGTTACATGTATCTGCATAAAGCGATTATACCCTTTTAACACACTTCCGATGGTTGCGGGGTATAAGAAGGTATCCGTTCGCCGTTTTTTAGTCGTACTTTATTTTAAAAAATATTTATAGATAATTGTTACCTGGTTTTAGTGTATTTTTCAGCGCTAATTGGTTTTTGGATTGCATTCAAGAATCAATTTCAAAGCGCTTCATGTTTACAATTCGATTTATGAGGGCTTTTGCTGGTGGTTAAAAAAAATAATAAATACCCTTGGAAAGGCAGTCGATATAAAATACGGCTGCTGTTAGTTCACATGAATTGATTGGGGTTTATTTGTGTATTATTCAGATTTAAGTTTAGCTGATTTGCAATAATCTAATTATTGATCTGTTTCACAACTGTAAATGACAACATCTCTATGATTTATTTTCAGAATTTGATTTGTCTTAGTCTAGGAATTAATTATATTACGCTTATTATGTTTTCAATTTTGTGTTCATATCTTTTAAATGTACAACACATTCAAGCGCACACTCATACAACAGCGTATGCAGGTATGCGCTAACATTTAACTTAATTACAGAAAGTTGCACCTTCCATTCGCCGCCCCGCCCACTCACCTTGGGCCGCTGCTATTTACAAAGACGTCTTATAACTGCACAAAAGCTTACAAATAATTGAAGTCCGGGCTGGGCGCTCAATAAGCAAGTCACGTCACAAGTCACGTCTTGGCCAGCAGCCAACGCACTCCCAGCACTGCCCGCACCGCCGGCACCAGCACCTGCAGCAGCGGGAGCAGCAGCGTCAGCTGCAGAAACGTGCTGCGCTGTTGACACTCTGCTACGCCGGACATGATAGCCGAAGCAGAGTATTCACCTGTTGGCAATAATGAATGCGTATGTGTGTGTGTGTGTGTGTGTGTGTGTGTGTGTGTGTGTGTGTGTGTGTGTTTGTGTGTGTGTGTGTGTGTGTGTGTGTGTGTGTGTGTGTGTGTGTGTGTGTGTGTGTGTGTGTGTGTGTGTGTGTGTGTGTGTGTGTGTGTGTGTGCAATTAATATGAATGATTTAACTTCCTGACAAAATAATTCACACGTTCTTGCAATCGCTCACGTCACAAGAGCCACTACTACATATACATATACATACATACATATACGTGTACATATATATATATATATATGCATATATGTGTGTGTGTGTCTGTCAAGGACTCACCGCTGAGTACGTGCAGGTCAACGGAGACGGAGACACTGTTCGCTGGCTGGCACGTATAATTCCCGGAGTCCTCTTTGCGCACAAATGGTATAATTAATGAGCCGATCTGTAATTAATGCACTCTTTGTTATTTCAACACTCGACTAAACAAATCTAACGCTTTTTCAATGCCAAAAAGAACACTGTGCAATTAAATGTGCAGCATTAGATGTGAAGAATAAGTAAATAATATACTTATTTCTTAAAATATTTTAAAATTAACAGTGGAAGGCAGCAATCCGCGCTTGAACCGCGCTGGTTCGTAGCCAGAGCTAGTTTCTAAAATAAACCAAAATAAGATAACTTATAAAGCAGACCCAGCCTGAAAATATATATCATAGATATGAAGAATAAACAAGATTTAAACACTCGAAGGGCTGTTGTAAATAAAATGTAAATAATTTCATTTTCAACAAATATAAAAATAAATATAAGATAAAAATAAATGGCCAACCATAGTTCGAACAAATGCCTGGTTCGAAGATGTGGAAAACCAGATTCATAAGCCGATCCCAACGGCTGGAACCACATGCAGTTGACTAACTGTGCTGCATAGTGTTAAGTCACCTACCGTATTTTGATTATCGCCCACTGTTCCAAATATATTGCGATCTATTTGCGTATACCAGCCGGTACGCTCATCGCTATCACTTATCTTCTTCTGTCCACGGAACCAGATGATATACCTGGGAGGGTCCAGTGTGCCGCGTACAATGCAATGAAGCGCCACCTTGCTGCCGGCCTTGACGAAGCGGCTCTGATCGCCAATTAGCTCAGTCTTGGGCGCTGCATGGGAAGGGGGAGGGTGAATAAATGAATACTTTATAGTTTAAAGAGTTTAGAAAAATAACTGACACTCACTGACTACTTCCAGATGCACCTTGGCGCTCAGTTTGGGCTCGGTGGCCATTTGGCACTCGTACCAGCCAGCATCGTTGACGTCCACGTACTTGATCTGCAGCGACCAGGTGTAATCATTCTCCTCCTGGTATATCGACTGGAAACGTTCATCGGCTATAAATGTACTCTCGTCCACGCTGATTATGTGACCATCGCGCAATCGCACCCAAGAGACGGGCTTCTCCGACAGCCGATGGATCTGTAGAATAAAATAATAAATTTAAAACGATTTGTTTGAGAATTTAATAATGTATTAAATACATAAAATGTGCCTCTAATTCTAATTTAATAGATATATAAACGGGCAGGATATGCGAAAGAATCCAATCTTCATGAGCACACTGAAAACCAATTTGTCTAATCCGCTAGGCTAACTGTGGATATAAATGTGTGCAAACAACTCAGTCCAAGACTCTAGCGGGTAAAAGTATCCAAAAAGTAAATATTCTTTATCCATGTGAGCTATGCTATTAACTCCGAAATATGATAAAAAAAAACAGGATTTTAATATCGATTTGTATCGATTTCATAGAAATGCTTCCAGTTATCGATGCATACGATGCTTGCATGCGAACGTAGAGATACGAATGTATATATATGACATCAAAGATGCCGTATTTTTTTTTAAATATTCTTTAACCTCCGTTAGATTTCTCTCTTCAAACGAAGTAGCTCATGCTGAATGATGCTGGGCAATCTTCGATAGCTCCAAAAAAGCTGCACATAAAGAGAAAATCAAGTGTGCAAGGTTTCTAGTTGTCACAGAATTCCTATTTGCCGGACCTGAGATAAAACTATGAAGTATTTACATATGGCAAGCAAAAACACAACACACAGTAAAATGTGGAAATAGAACCCAAAGCAGAGACAGAGGAATAGTGGCAAACTAATTTGCATACATACGAATTTCACAAGGTACTATAATCTACAAAATATACCAACAAGCAGCAGAAAGAATAACAACAAAACTATTATAAGACGCCTCACATTTGCATTTACATGAGTGCAGATGCCTGCCTGTGAGCCTCTTTAAAAGAGCCGAAAAGAGAGCTCATTGTACAAAATAATAAGAAAGAAAAAAATTCCAGAAACGTATACGGCACATGGAACGCGTGGAGAGGTTATTTGCCTTGTTACGTCATAAAAATAAGCGTAAACAAAATAAATTTGTTGATATGCAAATGAAATTATGCTGATCTGTGAGCAAAGTTTTTGAGCAGACAGCAGACACCGCCAGACAGCCGCAGGCATTAGGTAAACGAGCTGCGTACTGCCCCCGGAAAACGAAAAAGCAAAACGGAAAACCAAAGTAAAATAGCCAACAAACCAGATAGGTATATCTGAACAGAGTTGAAAAGGCTATTATAACATCTCTATGATTGAGTTGAACTTGGTGAGGCAAGGTAATTGAGCAGGACCCAAAGGGCGATTTATTTTAGAGGGAAGGATATATTTGTCGTCTGGAATAATAGCAACTGATTAGAAAAACATGTTTAATGAATGAAATTTGACGAATTTTGACAATTTGAATGCTAAGAGCTGAAATATTGGGAACCAATTAATTTATTTATATGTACTCACATCTATTTAAAACAAGAGTAACGAGAAAGTAGGGCTATCTTCGGCACGCCGAAGATCTGATACCCTTGGAGATCCAACCTTTTCATAATGCTCATAGTGCTTTGTCCGTATCTAAGAAGCACAGGGAAAATAGTTAATGCAAACTGTGGTTAAGATATCATGATAAACAAAAAAGATTTGTAATCAAAAACCTAGTTTTTGACCGATCCTTCATATGGCAGTTATATGATATAGTCCGATGTAAATAAGATAAGAACAAGTAAGAGGTTCTAGTAGGGAGCTCCCGACTAGGGGATACCCTGAACCCTCTTATTCCAGCACCAAATAAATTAATAAAAAAAGTTCCCTTGGCAGGGTTCGAACTCGCAACTGACCGCGTTACTTACTGTCGACTCTACTCAACTGCCACACCAGCAAATAAAAAAAATAATAAGACTTTACCCGGTAGGGCTCGAACTCGCGACAGACCGCACCACTTGCTATGCCTCTACTTAGCAGCCACACCAACAAATAAGTACTTATGATAAAAAAAGTAACTAAAATAACATTACAGAAAAAAGTCCCAATTACCATGCTGTTAGAATACGAAGCTGACACGCATGAATGTGTGTGTGTACATGTATACAGAACTTCTTAAAGCTGCTGCCCCATTCAATTGCGCAGTTGCATATAACTTTGGTTTTTTCTTAACCGATCTTTATGAAATTTTCTACAGTACATCTTATTCTACCATAGGATAGTTGTGTATTCTTAAAAAGTCAATTGCATTTAAATTGTGGTTTAAATTGGTTGGCAATAAAAGTTGCGTTATTAACTTGATTTATAGCGGTAGCGGGGAGGTGGCGATAGGTATAAAATGAAAGATACTTGACATATCTATTATATTCTAGAAGCTACATATCATGTTTAGTGACTCTAGCCCTTATTATTTACCAAAATTGCCCAAAAAACAGGATATCGATATCGATTTTAATCGATTGCTTGGAAACGGAGTAAGTTATCGATTATCAGAAACCAACTCGATCTGCGCAGGAGCTAGGAGCACCTACATCTAAAAAATTTCCAGTCTCTAGCTCTTATAGGTTCTGAGATCGTTGCGTTCATACATACGGACGGACGGACAGACAGGCGGGCATGGCTATATACTTTATGGGGTCGGAGAAGCTTCCTTCTGCCTGTTACATACATTTGGATTTTGCACAAATACAATATACCCTTATACCCATTTTTAATGGGTTCAGTGTATAAAAATAAGCTGGTGGTTTAAAGTCATGTGTTATGAAGCGAGAAAATGAATTTTATTTATTTTTCTATTCTTAGGAAATAAGAGCAAGGGAATTTGGGGACATGATTAAGATAGGAATTTGGGGACATGATTAAGATATCTTACATTTCAGAAAGAGGATTAGTTATAGTGAGAAATGATTGCTGAAAATTAGGATTTTTGATAGAATGCATGTGTAATAACACGAATTAGGGGAACATATGTGGGTATCAAACGTTCGTGCTTGAGTTATGGAAAACACAAGAAATTGTATGAACTAGAGAATTTAATAATGTAGCCTTGAGCTACACACATCTCGGGCACACATATGTTAAGGTCTACACGTTACGTAAGTGGAACATACAATTAACACACACACATGTGTGTACACACATATAAATACATAACATGATACACATCCCTCAGCTCTGTTGCAATATGTACGTGGAAATGAATGCCTCTGCTTGGGCCTGGGATTAAGTTAGGGTCTGGGATTTTCGTCTGGTCTGGTGTTTGGGTGTCAAAAGTACTCACCTGACATGGCATATACGCGTGATTTCCCATCTGAGCCGTGATGTTTAGCACAGGCATTGTCAGATTTTTGCGCGGCAGCTGCCCCGGCAGCAGTTCCCCATTGTGGGAGGCCAAGTACGAGTGCTGCTCATTAAACATTTGTTGTCGCTGCTGCTCCGGTGACAACGTCACCGTAGTCTCCGTCGCCGGAGTTGATGCTGCTGCGGCAGCGGCAGCGGCTGCCTCAGCTTCAGCAGCAGCAGCTCGGTATGCAGGCAAATCAGCGGCCGCGAACACTGGAAACGGCGGCAGAAATGTGGGTATGGAGAAACCCTTAGTCAGTGAATCAGTGTTGGCCGGATGAGGAAGCTGCAACACCGCATTTTCCCCCTCCTCTTTTCGCTCCCTCCCGTCCTCATCCTCTTGCAACTCCTGCAACTGCTGCCCCGCTTCAACCGATGGCCGTGACGTTGCCGTTTCAATGGAGCTGCGGGCTTCCGTTTCCGTCAGCGTAAGCGTCGTCCTCGTCGTCGCCGTTGGGACAACCATCGCAGGCTCTGTTGTTGATGTCGGATAAATTGTTGATATGAACAGCGATGCCATCGCCGTTGTTGCCATTGTTTTTGTTTTTGTTGTTGCAGCGATTGTTGTTTGTGTTTCAGCCACCGTTGCGGGCTGCGTAGTTAGCCCAATTTGTGCGGACTTAGTTGCCGCTGCGGCACCTCCTGCCAGCCTCCTAGTCGAAGTCCTTGTTATCGTTGGCGCTGTTGATGACATGCCCAGGGTCGTGCTCCTATAGCCTCTCTCTGTTGCCGTTGTTTCTGTTGTTGTCGCTGCTGCTGCAGCGGCTGGCTTTTTCGTTGTCAGTAATGTTGTTGAGTTTCGGGCTGTCGTAATTAGATCGTTTTGTGTTGTCATTTGGCTATCTGCCAAAGTGGATCTCGGCTGTGTCGTTAGCTGCGGCTCTGTGACAACCACCTGGTCGTAGGCTGAGCTGCAGGTGACAAGGTCTGTAGGTAAACAGAACACACGGAAATGTACTCCATTTAAATATGCTGTTGCAGATGTGATTAGGACATTGATAGAGCGACTTTCGAATGCTTAAAAGTTCAAGATACAAACTTAAAACCAATGATTACATAAAATATATATTAAACAACTAAGAGGTTCTAGTCGGGAGCTCCCGACTAGGGAATACCCTGAACCCTCTTCTTCCAACATCAAATGCATATATATTCTATTTTAGAACCTATATGTCAACTTTGGTGACTCTAGCTCTTATTATTTACCAAAATTGCCCAAAAAACAGGTTATCGATATAGATTTTTATCGATTGCTTGGAAACAGAGTAAGTTATCGATTATCGGGAACAAACTCGATCTGCGCAGGCACTAGGAGCACCTACATCTAAAATTTCAAGTCTCTAGCTCTTATAGGTACGGACGGGCGGACGGACGGACAGACAGACGGACATGGCTAGATCGACTCGGCTATTAATGCTGATGAAGAATATATATACTTTATGGGGTCGGAGATGCTTCCTTTTGTCTGTTACATACATTTGCATTTTGCACAAACACAATATACCCTTTTTACCCATTTTAAATGGGTTCAGGGTATAAAAACTGCACTCTATGCCTGTGTGGCATTTGTGAGCTGAGCTTTTGCTTACTTGTAAACGAGCAGAGCCCTAAAGCTGTCTTTAATATCTTTGTTATTATCACTCTTTAAATTAAATAAAGAACTTTTTTAGCTGCTGTTGTCCTGTTAAACAATTTATTGCTAATATCAAAGAAACCTTGAAAAGCAGCAAAGCTAAATTTTTAAGGACTTGCCTCACTAAAGCTGTCTTAAAGAGTGCTTGTAGTTTTAAAGCGCTTTGCAATTATTTATTAAACTAAATAAACAATTTTTTGTTGCTGCAGTTGTTGGCATATTCCTTGCAAAAAATCGAATGTATTTTTTCTTTACGAGACAGCTCAAACTATTCTAGAATCAATAAACAAAAGTATGCCCTCAATCCTAAGTAAATAAATAAAAGTAAGCTGTTTTTCTGGCACTGCAGACAAGTTAAAATGCCTGCGGGGCATGTCAGAGTGTAGAAATTTTCTTAAGAAAATTCAAATATTTTAAAGACCCTTAAACATGCGTGTGTGTGCATAACTTTTTGAGTAACTGTTGGCCCAGGTAAAGCCCTCACTTGCTTGTTATGTATATATTTTGTTTCAGTTAATTTTTAATTACGCTTTTATACTAATTAAAATCATAAAAAAAAGTATTTGCTGCTTTCTGTCGCTGCTGCGGCTTTCACTTGGGGCAGGCAGCTCGGGAGTTTGGAGTGCCGTGGGGCGAGCCATTGAAAAGTTTTTGCCTTTTGAGTTTTTTCTTTTGCCGGATTCGGTCTTTTAAAATACACGAGTTTTTGTGTTTTTGTGTTGAGTAAAAAGTTGCGAGTCGTTTATAATTATTAGCATTTTCGCTGTGTTAAATAATATTAACACACTTGTGACGTCATCAGAGCACACACACAAACACAAACGATGGCCAATGCTGACCATTAAAAACGTTAATATATTTATATTTATATACATAAATATACGGCTTAAAAACTTTTGAAAGCTAATTGAATTTGGGATTTTAGTTTCAATTTGGAATTTTGTTTGCAAATAAACGAATTAGTGGCAATTTTATAAATTTTGGCACATGCTTATTTTTGCAGTTCGGATTACATTTTAAATAAAATAAAATCAACAAAAATTGAAGAGCAATAAAAGGCAAACAAAACTAACTAAAGTATATTAAAAGATTACAGGCTAATCACTTCGGACAGTAAATTTTCCCACACATTTTTATTTTTCTTTGCCAAACTAAGCAGAGTGTGTGTGAATGGGTGTGCGTGTGTGTGCAGCAGTTTTGCCAGTGATTAGCTTGCCATACATCTCAACTTTTCGCTGGCAAAAGTTGCGGTCACGACCCTCAAAAGAACTTGTCGCCTCGGGGTCAATAGGCAGCAGAAAAAAATGGAGAAAATGATGAGGGCGTGAACTCAGAACTCGATGTCGTTCATGTGGAAAGTTTTGCCAGCCCCCACACAAATTGAGCTGGCGTTGAATCCAAAACTGTTTGAAACAAGTTACATGCGATTTTTTGCCGTGTTCTTATTTTATTTTGCCAACTTTTCTCGGTGTTTTTGGTTTTGTTTGAGTTTTGTATTACAAAACGATTAATTTGAAAGACTTGAATGAGCTCAACTTTCGATTCAATTTGTCATTTCCTTTTATCACGTACTTGATTCAGTTTTTTTTTGAGTTGACATTTCTTTTATTTATCATCAAATAATATTTTTTTTTGGTCCTATAAAATATGTATAAACTGTGTTATTTAAATTTCTTTGTTGCTTCAAAATAATTTGATTAAATTAAAAATAGCCCAAATCTTGGCCAACAGGCAGCATATTGCCCGTAAAAGGTCAAAGCACATTTATCCAAACCAAATTTAGACCGCAGAAAGGTTGCCAAAGCGCACAGCTCGCAACTGGGCCAAAAATCAGTCGTCTAGTCATGGGTTTAGGCTGATTGCAGATTTTTGGTTAGATTTCGACACGCCGATAGCCAAAGAATTTGCATTTTTAAATTATTTCATTTCACGTTCTTGTCAGGCCTTGATAAAGGTACACTTTCTACCTGACGCTCCCGTTCCCGTTCCTCCATCTTTTCCCTCCTATCATTTTTCAAGTTTTCAGTTTTCCGAAAGCGTGCAAAAAAAGAAGAATTGGACGAATGTGCATGCGAATGCGTCAGATTGGGGCGTGGCGATAAGGTTGCGACACGGCAGCCAGCTAAAAATGTAAAAAGGTAAAAGGGCACCTGTAACCACAAAAACACAACCAATAAAAAAAATGCCTCAAATGTGCAAAATGCAAATTGAAAACGAAACGTAATAGTAAATTTGAAAGTTACTCCAACGCCCGCAACCATTACTCAGGCAGCTCTTGGCCAATTGCATGGCAATTTTTGTTTGTGAAAAAAGTATCTTAAGAATGCATTGCTTGAGTTTTCAATTAAAACAGCTTATGGCCAATAAGCCGCTTCTAGGCTTAGGCATTACGCATTGGTCAAAGCCAGTTTTTGGCCGAGTTAAATCGGAAAGTATTACAATCTGGCCAGAGCCGAACTACTCGTCTGTGCGAAAGGCTTTGTTTATTTTGGCTTCTAAGCCGATTAATTTACAGGCCACAGCAAGGAGTATCGGCGTGTGTTTGTGTGCGTGCGCCTGTGCGTGTGTTTATCTTATTTCGCAAGGACCTCGTGTGAAGTATGATCTCAACACTTACTGCACTTGGCGACAAAATGGCGACAGTCAGCAAACGGCAGGCTTTACGCCCTTCAGCCACAATTGCTTGGCCAACAAAAACAAATACGCGGTGTGCGAGTATGGAGCAGCCAGGATGCCGGCACACTATGTGGGCGCTGCCAGGACATGTTAGCGAAACGTGCAATAACACTTAAATTGTTTTTGTTGAGCTTGTGGCCATCCACTCAAATTGCCCGTCGGCATGGTGAGTGGCTCAGCTGCTACTTCAAACCCAAGCCCCTTCCCTTCTAAAGAGCTCTTCAAACTGCGCGTTTAGTTTTTTGTTTAAGCAGCAGTTGCCAAAGCATTTGCCGAGGTTCATTATTTAAGCCTGTTACCAAAATGAACAAGCGCTTTCCCATCTGCCAGCTACTCTTTGCCAGATCTGCACACAAACCGAATAGTAATGCTCCCAAATGAGTCACAGAATTGCTCACGCGCATACACTCACACACACACTCACACAGCCCGCATTGATTGCATGTATATGTAAATTTGAATTTCTCTTCTGTCCCTCAACTGGCTCACCAGCGGGCAATAGTTGCCCTCAAACAGTGGGCTTTCTTTGAAGACATGCGAATAAAAGCTCAGACGAAACGCATTTTGAACACACGATCACTAAGCAAGTCAGCTTTTAAGTCTCTCCTAGAGATTGAGTCGATCAATGCGAACAAATTTTTCAAAAATTTTTTTTTCGTGGTCGAACTAATTGTTTTACATCTTGCGGAGCCTCAAACATGTAGCCTACTCGAGCGGCTCGATAATCGACAACTCAAGTCTGACAGCTGAATTGATTGAATATCCGAGCTTTTAAGCACACATTTTAAACAGTTTGCCCACTGTTCACAGCGTTCACAGATGCATGGTAAAATTTTTATGTGTTGCTATATTGCAGCAGACATTGAAACCCTTCTCCTTCTCAGGTACAGGTGCAGACAGGTCCGTATGCTGTTTTTTGTACCAAGTTCTATGACCTTTTACTCTAATCCTAATGGACTTTACTGGCCAAACAGCAGCTGGGTAACTTCAGGCATATGCAAGGCTGATTTTGTTTACACATCTTTATACTGATTTCCTCTCTGTAAATTATAACAAATTAAATGAAATAATAGAACATTGAACCAGTTACTTCTCTCTTGTTAGTTCGACGCTCAGACAGTTGACACACCACGCACTTCTTGTTGATGCTTTTCATATACATTTTGTACCCAGTTTTCTCTGACTTGTGGGTCGAGTTTTCCTATGCGTTGATCACCCATGAGTAAGTCGGACAATCTGGAAAAACTCTTTTAATTACATAGTTTCTAACACAACTTTATGCATTTTAAAATCCAAAATAATACCCCAATGGTCATAATTCACACATAGAAGACTTCACACGCTTTCATTGCGTTGCGCCCCTCTGGTAAAGGTCAGTGGATTAATTATGATTTCATGCTTAACGGCATTTTGTTGGCCATTTGATGCGTGTTCACGTACATCATTAGCGGAGCATCAAACTTTGGCCAAAAGCCAGTCGCAACTTTTTATGGGCTGCCGCGGAACGGCGCACTTGTAATTATAAAAAAATATGCATCTGTAATTCGGAGAAGCCGAGGGCGAAAAGTAATTACATATCCAATAAAAAGTCATGGCGGCAGGAAGCGCAGCCGGCAGCGGTCATAATTAAAAATCCTCCAACTAAACACTCTAAATTCTAGCTAACACGCCACCAGTCGCCGCAATCTGATATCTGTGTGCGAACATGCAAAGCCGCACTTGTGGCGACTTAAGGAACAGGGCCAAGTGGAGGTGCCACCATGACCAGGTCCGGGCAGACCGCAGCCTTAATCACCAGTGAACACACACACAAACGCACATAAAGGCAAAACTTCTCATTGGGGACTACTTTGGGTTATGGGCGCCTCGAGTGCGCATAAAACACGCGCCAGCAGATAGCTCCAGGCGTTTGGATTAGCTTCTAGCAGAACCGAACCCCTGCCCGTAAATGCTGAGTTAAGATAGTTGGCTAAATTGCGTCTATTTGACTGTTGACAACTTTTAACTTGTTCTTGTTGTTACTGCGGTTACTGCGACTGCCGTGTGGAGTCATGGCTAATGCGCCTCCTTTGGGTCCTGTTAATAAGCGATTGCAATTGGCCAAAAGTTAAGAAAACAAGAGCAAAGAGTAGGAGCTGTGGCTAGGAAACAGAGCTAACCAGCTGACCTCCTCAGAAACTTATAAAATGGCCAAAAATAAAAGTATCCTACTTTAACTAAAATTGATGCTTATAATTAAAGGGCCTGTTTATCTGTGAGAGCTTGTGCACAGCTGTTAAATCTCAACCTAACCCAACTATCGACTAAAACATCTTAACCTAACCCAACTTTCGACTAAAACATCTAAACCTTATCCAACTTTTGAGCAAACATCTCAACCCAACCCAACTTTTGAGAAAAACTTCTCAACCCAACCCAACTTATGACCAGCAACTCAACCTAACCGCAATCTTGCTTAAAATGATTATCTACATCAAACTGGTTTACTTATGCGAATTACATAACTCTTACAAATACTACGTAAGCATGTCAAATCAATTTGCACTTATCGTCAAGCTGTTGTCAAGTGTTTAACCTCTTGATATTTTATGATATATACCCACTTATACAAGCTGAATTGTAATGGTATTTGACGTTTGGCATTTGACGAGATGTGCATGAATTTCGCATAAATATTCGAAAATTGTGCTTAAGAAACATTTACAAAATCGATCAATAAGCAATTACGGGCGCCTTTTTTCCGGCAACATATAAATAAATAAATAAATAAACATTATTGCCTGCATGGGGGTTGGGCGGGGCAAAGGGCAGCCATAACATTATATGGAAAATTGTACTTATACGAATGCCAGGCAAATACAAAATGCCGTTTACGCATTAAAGATACATTTGCATGCGTATGGCTGAGTGGGCGTTTAAGTGGGGGCTCTATGGGTGGCTGGATGAGTGGTTGCAGGCAGGCAGAGGCATCGTCTGCCGCCGCCGCTGTTGAATGTTGTGTTTAGTGAAAATTGCTTCAACAATTTTCTTGTAGTCATTCAGAGTGAAACATATGTTGGGTGTCACAGTAAAAATATGTATATACGATACGCCAGCACACACACAAATAGCGGCAACAGCCGCGCTTTTAGGGCGGGTTCGAAATTCAACAGCAGCCAAACAGGGCATGGGGCATGAACATTTCTCTGTTTCTCTTTCTGTCTCACTGTCCGTTGGTCTGTCTGCCTGTCTGCCTGTCTATTTCGCGCTTTTTGTTTTTATCCTATATGCTTGCTTTTGGTGCTTGCTGTTTGGTGTGGAGCGGCTTCCTCAATTTATTTTTATGGCATCATGTTTGGTCGCTACGTGTGGCAAAAGAGAACTTTCTTCCCGCCTTCGGCTTCAGTTTCAGCAGCGCAAATTGAAACTGGAGCATTGCCCAGCGTCCCATTACATATACGCACCGTACTCGTGCGCGTACTTCACCACGTTCTTATGAAAGCAGCGCCAGTCGCATTCCCGTATCGCTCCTACATCAAAGGCCCACATAATATTACTATTACAAAGCAGTGAGAAATATTTACGTCATAGCAATGAAGTCACAGACATGTTACGTTTTTGATACTACGTGGGTTTGGCCAATTAAAATGTATATGTATAATGACTAACACAGAACAATGTGAGATACAAAAGTATCTGTGAGTAACAAATGTGTCAAAGCAATACTAATTCCTGTGGTAAGAAAGTGTCAGTGAGATATAAAATAAGTCTTAAGATTCAAAATATCTCAAATATAGCAGATGCAAAGACAACTTGGAGATACGAAAATTACTGTAAGAACCAAAAATATGTATGGGTTGCAAATAAATCAAAGAGGGAAGGGATGCAAAAGTATCTGTAAAACACTAACAATTCTGTGACACAAAAATATATGCGAGACACAAAAGTATCTGAGAAATTTAAAAATATCCTGTTATAAAAAATTGTAAGGCGAAGAATTTTCGTAATACACAAAGATTTCGCTTCATCGCTTAATTTGTTACGTTCAGATGATTTTGTAGAAAGATTAAGTTTTGCATCGTTGAGATACTTCAACATCTAAGATATACTTTTGTATCTTTTCTCATTAGATACTTTTGAATCATATCAACAGTTTTATGTCACAAAATTGTTTTTGTTTCTTTCTCATGATTTTACATTTTTCAGTCACTTCAACATCACACTTTTGCATATTATCTCTTTAGATACTTTTGAATCTCCTTAACTGTTTTGTGTCATAAAATAGCTTGTAAGTTTGTGGTTTTGCATTTTGAGATACTTCAACGATGCACAGAAACCTTTGCATCTTAAGACTGCTTTTGTATATTATATTTTAGGTCCTACAGGGTTCCGTCCCATTCACAATCTCATCCAAATCAAAACGAATTGTGTAGAGAAATCAACTCGCAGATGCCCTTCACGTGGCAAGCGACTGATTGTAATTGAAAATCGAAATGAACTCGGCGAAAATATTCTGTAAACTGACAAACGAAATTATCAAATAACAGACATTTGCATTTTGGCTTTGATTATGCGAAAGGTTGAGCAATAAACTGCGCACATTTGAATCGAGTTGATTTTGTTTTGCTTTGTTGCATAAACTTTGGCAAATTCAGTGGCCTCTGAGAACGACTCCCAAGTGGTTGCATATAAATCAAGCAAAATAATTATGCGGATCTGCAGGACATTACATTATCTGTGTTTGGACCCACTCCGCTTCCGAAATGCTTTGCTTTTTATTGCGCCGCTCGCCTTTATTGCTGGTTACCGAAACATCGACCCACCCACAGGCTGGCATACCTACAGTCGCCCACCCGCCGCTGGCCAACAAATGCCACCGGCGGCACAGCTCATAAATAATTTCCAACGTCGCCAAAACAAAACATTTTTCATCTCGCTTTGGGCCGAGCACGGCTGTCGGTCCTCATCCGTCGCCAGTCGCCCGTTGTCCGTTGTCGTCTGTCGGCATGTGCTCTGGGAATATTTCATAAATTTCAACGTTGGCCCTCGAAACTGAACTTGTGCCTCCATATAGACCGATATTGCTCTGGCATTTTTGCTAGTTATTTTTGGGGGCCATTTTCACACTTCACTCAACAGAGGGGGAAGGTAGCCCTCATAAGACTCGTTGACTCTGGTCGACTGCACTTTGTCATCTGGTGGCCACTTCTCCTACTTTTCAGCAATTACATGCTCCAGCCATTAATACCACACACTTGCTGTTGTTGTTGTAGTCGTCTTTGTTGTTGTCATTTTGCCATTGTTTTCCATTGTTTTTCACAGTTTTCCGCTCATGTGTTTCGCCTTGCGCCTCGTGGCTTGCGCTTTTGATTGCTTGCAGCGACGTCAGCGCCGACAACGGCGTCAACGGAGACTCTCTAAATAATTTAAACCCTCCGCCTGTCCAGCCCAACTTTGAATCAAAAAGACCAGTCAGAGGCATGGACCCTAAACCAAATTGTTAGTTTAGAGCGTACGCCTAAATGCACAGTGGTAACAGCTGATTAACTAAGGGGTGTATTTAGATACCTGTGTCTATTGAGATGTATTTAATAATTATTTTCTGGTAAGAGAGTATGTTATTATTATTGACAGCTCCCATACATTTTCCAAATTATTTTTGTTCTTGAATTATAATTATTGCTCTTTGTAAATAAAAACGAATGCAAGTTGGCCGCTAAAATTTTAACCGACGACATTACGCTTGCTGGTTCGACGCTCTTAGCTCTCACATGTTCATGATGATTGTAATCGTTTGGATGGATTCTGTTTGATGTCTTGTTGTCAAACTTTAAATGTCAGTCAGTCAAACTAAATACTGAATTGATTTAAATTAGAATAAATAAAATTATGAAAATAAAAAGCAATAGATCCAGACCATCTTAGTCTTAGTATACAATTTTTAGTAATGTTGAGAAAGGAAAAACTCTTTTTAATTACCTGTTGTATATATAGACATACATATGTAAGCTATAACAGTTTGTCATATTCCGAACCACTGTGTGCCATAAAGCAAAATATTTGATACTCGGATGCAGACAGGATGTGGCACAAGCTCTGCACAGCTCACAGCTGGCGTTCCGGTACGACATGGCTCCGTTCGGTTGAGTTCAGCTCGGTTCAGTTCAGCTGAATTTTGCTCTTCTAATTTTTTACGTAGCTGCTTGCTTGTTGGGCAACACTTTCATACGGACTGGCGACAGCAGCATCAGCAGAAGCAGGAGTAAGAGCACCGACATCAGGGACAGAGGTCAACCGACATGTGCCCATGTGCATGGCCCAGAACATGTGGGTTGTAGATTCATAATTTATGAAGGTAAACAAACACTTTTGGCCTCTGGCGAGTTGGGGATGACCCAATTGGTGCTGCAGCATTTGGAGCGGGGCATTAAAGGATTTACCATTTAGGGGGCGTGGCGTGGCTAAGCATTTTCGGATTGCCTGTCGGACCGCAGAGTGCAGACGCTCTAGCTGCAAATTGTGACGAACCGTGGCTTCAAACTTTGGCACATTCACCAAATTAGCCAAGTGCTCAGAGCACGAGCACGAGAGCACGAGCGCAGGAACGAGCACAAAATCCCTTAATATTACAAAATTTATACAAAAGCAGCAGACAAACTTCACTTATTTGGCATAACGAGCTGCACTCAAACTTTTATGAAAGCGCACTGGGATTGGGGCAGCAATCCCCTTTTTATCCTGCTGGTCCTTGAATTCGGATGAGCATGTGCTCGCCACAGAACGCCTTACGGCGCATTCACAAAATATTGCCATCTGAAAATGTGTTTATTAAACAGTTTTTTCTTCTTTTTTGTTTTTGGCAAGCTTTCAATTTCGTTAATGTTTTCTGCGCATTTTTCAAAGCTTTGCCGAGCTGTTCCCTGCATGTGCAGCAATTTATTGTTTTATTTGTGTTGCCCTGCCTATTGGTCAGCTACCATTTGCCTTTTACCATTTACCCGGAGCCAGTTGCATTTGTAAGTGGTTTTTCCCATTTAATCGTACAATGGTGCTCCAGAGGGCAGTCGGGTTAAGGAACTCACAACTGCGGCTCATGAATTATGGCCAAGTGGATTGGCAGCGCAATGGGCATTACCCATTGGGGGGGCCGAGCGCTTCAAACTTTTGTATTGAAATGTGCGCACGTCTGTAATAATTTAAATTGCATATGAAACCGATCCGTAGAATCGTGTTTCTTCCCAGCAATCATATTGGACTCAGTACAATGAAGATAATACTTAATAAGTTATTCAACGGTTCAAGGTACAACAAGAAAGATGAGCTTACAGTAAAGGGTGCGGACCGGCACGAGCACGAAACTAATTTCTTTATACACGCACGAAAAAACTTCCCAAGGCGTGTTTTACCCAGTCAAACTATCAAATGTTGCACAAAGTTTTTGCTACTATTTTAATACACTCCTACTTTCATTTCATTTACGATTTTCGATTGGTTTCCGTCGGAATGCTCGGTGTGTCTTGTTCAGAATTGTTGGTACTAAAATAAGAACTATCGAATGGATTTAAGCTGAAATTAATGCCTAATTTTTACTGCCGCCCAAGAGGTTGAGAGGTGGAGGTGGGGATTTCGTGTTGGTGTGGTTCGTCCGTCGTGCCTCGGATATACAAACGGCCCATCTCTATTTTAAAACTTAAGATTGAAACTTAAAGAACTGAGCTACTTATTGCTTATATATTTTGTCATTCGATGTATGTACATACAAAAGCCGTCGATTTAAAAAGAGTTTTTCTATACGATACATCGCCGAGATAGTGTCAGTCATCGCACTACAAACAAACTATCGATATATTTTAATAAAGCGCCGTGGCTGGCAGACCTTTTCATGGAATTAAAGCTAATGCCAGCCGAACTATAATCATGTCAACTAATAAAAGAATGGCTTCTAAATAATATAGTCAACTGCAAGCACATGTCTAAAGTATATACATCGATATGGAGCGATATGTAAATCAGGAAAAAATCGACGAGAGCAGCTACGGCGTTGTGTACAAGCACTAACCAAACAACATATACATATGTAGAATGGATAAACCAGTGAAGGCGTTTGGGCCTGTTGTTTTTTGTGCGGCTGGTCCAAAGTCGCCTTCGTTTTTGTTCGGGCTCGAGACACACTCGCGCGCTCAGACAGCAAGAGAGTAAGAAATACATATGACTTGTGCGATAAAATGGCATCGCTCCTTTTTTGTATTCCCTCGCACTACAGGAAACTACTTTGGCTTACTCTCAGTGGTCTTTCAATTTGTACTGTTGAATGTTGTTTGGTTTGTGGTACAAAGCAAGCAAGATGGAGGCCCTGAGGAGAATGCGACTCATTGCCAGCGAGGAAGGCATAACCTCGGGGCTATCTGTACCAAATAACCAGCGCAATACTCTACTGTCATCGCCAGCGCGTGATGTATCGGTATCTGACGCCACACAATCTGCTGGTCGACAGACGCATCTAGGTGGCAAAACTTGGTCTAAGCTGCTATTTCCAGGTGCCAGGAGGCCCCTGTTCCAGGGCGACTCCGAAATGGATCAGCTGTTTGGCATATTCCAAATGCTGGACACACCAACTGGGGCTAGCTAGCCGGGTGTGTCCACATTGCCGGATTCAAAAGCACCTTTCCCAACTGGACAAACAATAAGATAAACCAGCTAATGGCCAGCTTGGGCTGTAACAACACAGACTTGCTGGCCGGGATTATGATCTATGAAGCCGCGCGTCGCCTATTTCAAGGATAATGCCACTGCTTAAAAACGTGACGAGAATTAAGCCCAACTATTTGCAAATTCCATACGGTACTTATTTATCCAAATGAAAGTGCGGTCGCGAACTGTCAATAAAAAAATTAAAAAAAAAAAAAACGATATGTGCATTTATATCATTTATATAGCACGCACGTGTTAAGTGGCCTTGTAAACGGATTAAAGTCTGCACATGTAAAATAAATTTAATTATTTTACGCTACGCTAGACGAAACGGAAGAACTGAAACGCGTTGCTCCTCCATAAAGTTAATAGGCTCGACTTTTGCATGAGTGCCCGAATCGTCCTGAAATCTGATATGCGCACAGTGGGCCGCAGCAAGTCGAAAACTGTATTCGAAAGACAGTCGCGCCTGTCTATATACTTGCTTTGTTTTAAATAATATTCTTGACAATTTCTTTGAGGGATCCTTTTTCTTTTGCATACGTTTTTGCTCCACTGTGCGACTGGCAATCGGGCAGTAAGAGAAACAGACAATGAGTAAATTCATGAATTGGAAGTTGTAATTGCCCTACGGCTACTGCACAGTGAAACACGGCGTCAATACAATTCTCAACTCAGACAAGCGCGACTAAAAGATGCCCAGTAATTAGTTATTAAAATAGATTTGTCAATTATTTAGCAGCTAGTCAGCTGATAATATTTTTATCAGAGTTTTATTACAAATTACTTAATAATTTGCCCTATTTGGAGGCAAATTAAATGCATTTCGGGGTTCACTAAGCATGCTCAAACTGACAGATGGCTCATAATGCATGAGCTTTAATAATATTAGCTTAGGGCAATTCAATTAGCAGCTTGGAAAATATAAAAAGCCAGTCAGATAATTGGCATATGGCAGTCCATGATTCTTATTACGCATATGCGAAATACAAGTTCAAGGTCGGAGCAGGAGGCACTGCTTTCGCTTATGACACAAAAACGGTTTCAACAAAATCGTAGGTCAGGTCTCTGTGTTTGATGGTGGGCGGCTTATTAAATTAAATCAAAAATGTCAGCCCCCGAGCTGTACTTACGCATTCCCAAGTCAAACAGCACAAAGAGCTGAGCTGCCAGCCAGATGCGCTGCCAAGTCATCGTCCTGGCCGTGCGTACAAATTGGCGCCGCTGTCCAGTGTCTGATCTTGAGGTTGAGGCTGGGGCTGAGACTGTGGCTGTCATCTTTGCAGTTGTCAGTTTCCTGGCATTGGTCCTGGCAGTCCCACTGGCACATTGCCTTGCGGCTGTGACACTTACAGCATATTTTGTGCGCTCATTGCCCGGCGTCTGCCGCCGTTGGGGACTCGTTTGCGGAACCATCGCTGGAGCATTGTCTCCAAGTGCTCGGCACGTTGCTGGCTTCTGATTCTGATTGCAGTGCGCCCAGTTGGCTGTTGGTTGCGAAGTCTTTCGCATTCTGGGCGAAATGTGTATATTCCACAGTTGAAGTCCCAGTCGTCGCTGGCGTCCCAGATAAATAGGTTTATTGAATTAACTCGCTGGGGTCGGGATTTGCTCTCGTCGCTTTCTTTCGCTGCTTTGCACCAAATTGCAGCTTGCCTTTTATATATTTTTTGGCTGTGCTTTGTGTCGTTCTTTGACTTTGGCGCAACGCGTTTTCATTGCTTCTCCAATTGCTTCACCTTGTGCCAGTTACAGTTTTTCCCTTCTCACGCAATTTTCCTCTATTTGCTGTGTTACTGCGCAATTTCAAAGGATCTATATGTGGTTATATTTTATTTTTGATTTATTTTCATTGAAGCACTTTGCCAATCAAGCGATAAATCAATATTAATATGATTACGATACACGTGAAGGAATTTATAGGAACTTATAGCGATTGGCTACAACGACTTCGTACTTTTTGATAACTTCTGCAATTTGGTTTGTTTATTTTTTTTAATGCATTTTTATTATTATAGTTTTTTGTTTTTAAAGTTTACCATAATTCTTTATTTTTTTAATTTTATTTGTTATTTAATAATTGAATTATTTTTTAATGCGTTTTTATTATTATAGTTTCATGCTGAAAATTATTATATTGTCCTTTAAGCTCTATATAAATTGTGGCTATTTTTTAAACTGTAAAATCTTTATATTTTTATTATTTGTGGACTTTCTTATATTGTTAGATTTTGGATTATTCGGATTAAATTCTTGCTAAACTTTTAATTCTTTACAATTCCCCGCATTCAAATTTATCTATGCTCAGCTTAAGTTTAGTGAAACTTTTTGATAGATCTGATAGCTATAAATTATATTTGCATTTAATCAACCAGTTTTAAATTCCAATTGAGAAAACTTGAACTTTTCACTGGGTAAATCGCGAGGTGCGTAAATTACACGTGCCATATGCCAAACTAACGCGAACCCTATTTTTCCATGAGTTATGGACAAAGTTTTTCACAAAAGAGATTTCGAAAGTGGCGCATTTACACTGTTTAACAGGTCTCTCGCTTTTTAATGGTGCTTACAGCTGACACACATTTTCCATGCATGGGTTGATTTGAATAAATTATAATCTTATTGATTTGTTTTTTTTTTTTTATTATAATTTTTACTGTTACATTTAACAGGATTTAATAGGATTTAGCACGTGGGAGTTTATTTGCATTTGAGTTCGTTTGAGCCGCGTTGAAAATATTTTTCAAGTTTTTATTATGTTCTTTATTTTTTTTTCTTTAGAAGAGCTGGCGAGTTGTTTGCCAGGGCGATACACAATAATCCCTTTTTACGACATTGTGGCCGCAGTTCTTTCTCAATTTTTGTCCTTCTATTTCTTATTGGGCGCTTCCTTTGCACATTTTGTGCGCCATTGTAATATCCATTTTAATACAACAGAAACAAACAAATTTCGAAAGTGATTTGGACCAGAAGCGGCACTTGCCAAGCCAACACGCTGCTGACTCAGTCCGGACACATGCACACACACACACACACACACACACACACAGCAAGTATTTTTGCTTTGCCTTCAGTTCGTTTCAGTTTCCGGTGACTTAAAATAGCT